ATATATATATATATATATATATGTATGTAGAGAGAGAGAGGGGGGAGATTTTATATATATCGCAAGAGAGATAGATAAAGATAGATGTCCACCAGTTTCTTTATTAGGTATACTCTTCTAGTAGCCTTTGGAACCACCTCAATTCTTGGCAACATTCTGGGAGCATTCTTTTGAAATTTGGCACCATGCTGCTATTATGGCATTTGTGCAAATCTCTTCTCAACTGGTTGACTGCACAACCAGGATTCACTTATCCCTTTTCCACCACATCCCATAGGTTCACTTTTGGATTGAAATCTGTTGATTGGAGCCCCATTAAAAAAAAACACAAAAGTTCCATGAACAAATTGATGACAGTTTTTTTTTTTTATTACACAATATATTGTCCTGATGTTTGCACAATTGAGGCACATACTCAGCTACAATACCTCGATAGGCTGCAACATTTGAATGATCTTTTAAAGGTCACAGTGTAAGCCAAGAAAATATATACCCTATCAACAACAACTTGAACCACTGATACAATGTATGATGGATCCATACACTAAATGTACTAAAACCTGAACTCTTGATACAAGGTGGGATGGATCTATACACTAAATTAACATTTACTTTCAGATTAATGTCCTTATCTTCGTTGTTTTTATAATATTTTGGCTATTGTACCCTCAGGTCTTTTTCAGATGTGTCAGTTTGAGTGAACTTTCAAGGAATTCAACAATGAGCCCTTTATTTAATCTTTTGATATTAAGCCTAATGTTAAGGTTCCAAGTTCTAGACTTAGGATTGTACCACAGGACAATAGGCTAGTGGATAAAAGCTTGGTTTATGAATTTGGCGACAATAATTGTGAGTTCAATCCCCAAACCAGCTAGCACAAACTCAAACCCAGTAGAAACAAAACTATCAATAACTGAACACTGTGGTAAATAAGAACAATATTAAATATTGTTAGACAATGACAGAAGAACAAGAACAATTCATACCTGCCAATAAAGGATTCAGTTTAAAATTCCCGGGGGATTATCTGGATTGACAGCCGGATGTCTGTTCAGTTAAGTCAAAATCTGTGGGTTTTTACAAGAAAATTTTCCCAAAAGTAGGCTCAAGAGAAATAGGTTTTTGGTCAAATATTTTACAAGGTGATGTTGATCTAAACAGTGTGTGGTGTACTATGGAATCGTCTTAGCATGTTTCTAATATTGCCTGTTATTAGGTAGAAAATCAAGTTTGGGTGTGTTTTAATATAGTATGTATGTGGGTATGTTGGAAATAGAGTTTACTTTCTATAAATGTCTGAATAAGGCCAGAGTGCACAACAGCTGAAACGTTATAACAAAAATGAGAACATTAGCCAAAATGTAAATAATGTTAACTTCTCATCCTAGTATGGTTGTTTAATGCAGTTATGTATTTTACACTAGTACCAGAAATTAGTAGATTGGTTCAGATTTTTAAAAGAAAAAAAATTTCAAACAGAAGGCAGGTCCTCTACATAAAAAATTGACACTTTGTATTTTGTTTCTTCTTCATCCTACCTTATTTAGAAGGTCCAACTAAGGTTTACTTACAACTATAATTTATAAAGGAAAGCTGAATGCATTTGTTTAGGAAAAAAAAATCAAAAAAAAAAAAATCAACACAAACAAATTCAACCTGCACACCTTCCTTTGCAGGGACCACACATACTACCCCTGAACCACCAGGCTAGGAGTGACTCAAGCCCGATTGGGGGGCCTTTTGCAGTGCTTTGTGACCCTTGTTATCTTATCAACATTTGCTTTTTTTCTACTTACATTTATATATGATACAAATTAAACTAAGCACAACTAAGACCAGGATGAAAGATTTTCAGATTTTGACATCATTCCGGGGGTCTTTTTATTCATCCAAATCTATGAATTTGTTTTGCTCATACTAAGTCCCAGAAAAAAAACACTATATAAAATACACCATTTTTTTATCCATAATCTAGAACGGGTCAAAATTATTCAACTTTTTAACAAGAAAAATCTCAAGTTGACTGCTGCAAAATTTTGTTGATTTATTTAAGAAGGAGAGATCTAGTTGAATTGATTCACTGATATTGCATATGATCCATTATTGTACATAATTAGGTTACAATAAAATTTGTATTCCATATGAATACTGCCTTATGAAAATTGAGATGTAGTGTGTGTGTGGGGGGGGCTTATCATATATATATATATATATATATATATAAATAAAAGTGAACATTGAAGTCAACACTCACAGGTGACAGACTGTTTCATGCCAGGTGCAATTGTCAGGCCACCTCTGAGTGTTGATTTCAATGTTCACTTTATATTTATATATGCTCTATCTCTGATAATGAGCACTTTATCCCATAAATATAGCACACCTTAACTATATATATATATATATATATATATATATATATATATACACACACACACGACCCTTGCACTGGCTCTCTTCCTTTGCAATAAAATACATAGAAATTGCTGTCATGTGAAGATGAGTGATTTCTTTTAAACTTTAGCTGACATAAAAGGTAAAATCAAAAGAAAAAAAAAATGCAAATCATAAAAGCTTTGTCACTTTTGTAATAGTTTTCTTTTAGAGAATCAACCAAGGACAAAATGAAACATCAATCTTTTCCTCCTTGAGTGACCACTTGCATGAGGACAGATAATGTCCAACTAATTATGGAATGTCAGATAATGTCCAACTAATTATGGCATAAAGTACAGTAAATTTAATAGGACCGAAACTTTAATTTAAATTTATATAATATAAGAGTAGAACCCTAATCACTAGCAACAACTAATATTTGTCTGTTTTAAAATCATTTCTCCTTACTTTTAGTGAACATCTGGTACTGGAGACTGAACTAGTGAATATCACATCTATTTTTATTATGCAATAAGTGCTTTTACAGATGAAGACATGGTGGTTAGTGGCTCTGATTGAGGAATCCAAGAGCTGAGTTCAAATTCCAACAGAGTTCATTACATTCACTTGTGCTAATACCCCTGGGAAAGGTACAAATCCATTGCTTCTCTCCCACCAGTTGTGGGTAACGGTAAATAGGATAGACTGGGTCCTATAGACTTGATTGGCAACTAGTCTAGGAGAAGAAAAACTGAATTCAAACCAGCCTGGAGAGGGTTGTCCTCCGTTAGGCTATCTTGACCAAAACACACCCCTTATACTGCAGTACGTGTGATGCCCCTACGATCTTAATTGGTTACAGGGACTCGTGAACATACTTTTTTAACAAAAAGATGCAGGATGAAAACATTGATTATTGAATAATGAGATTGGGATAGGGAAAGAAAAAAACATTTTAACAGGTAAATAAATGTCTTTATCTTTTTTTTTTTTTTTTTTCAACTCGTAATCCTTTTTTTAAAATTTTAATTTTTCCGAGCTAGCAACGATAAGTGTTTAACTTGTTTTTTGTTATTTATAACGCGAATGTGTTTTTTTTGTTTGTTTGTTTGTTTTTATTTTTTTACCCTACAATATGGGAAACGCAGCAAACGCTCCTCACTATTTTCTATGTTACTAAAAAAAAAATCTAATATTCTTTAAAAACAAAACTAACTGACCGGTAATAAAGGAAAAAAAACAAACAGTATGTGTCATTTTACTTTAAAAATAAAATACAAAAATAAAATTTTGAAAACAATCCAAGATTTCCTGAAAGAAACCATACTAACAAACAAAAGTAAAAGAAAACAATGTTTCTCTACATAATTTTCTACAAAACCAAAAAAAAAAAAAAAAAGAAAAAATTTACTAATTTTTTTTTAAATTAATTACTGCAATTTTTGATTATGCAAAATGCAAGTCATTTTTAAAGACATGTTCAAAATTTCTCTCCAGTTTTTATATTCAGAATGATAGTTTCTGTTCTGACACCTCAAATTCCTTGACCAAATTTGAGAGTAAAGTTAGAGTTTTAATTTATAAAATTAAAAAAGTTTATTTAAAAAAAATGGAAACTTTCCATTGGAAAGTATTTTGAAATAAAAATTAAAATTGTATTTTAAAGTCTCTAACCAAAATCCTTAAAATCAAACGCAGTTTCTTTGTGGGAGAGGAATCAATATTTTAAATTTTTAATTAATAAATTATTATTAGTTAAATTAGAAAATCTTTATTCTTTTGTTTTATTGTTTTTTTAATAAATCGCCATTTTGCCGCATAACCGCTCATGCGCGTTTCGATTTTTTAAAATAGTTTGAATGAAGAAATGCAATTGGTATTCCAGCTGTAGATTGGGTTTAGGGGTTTTGGGTTTTTTTTTTTTTAATTATACCTTACACTACAAAAAAGGAAAAGTCTACTAAATACGAAGACTTTATCAATAAATTATTCGCCTGGTATGAGTGGTAAGTAAATTAAATTTAAATTAGAATTTTTTTTAATCCATATTTTATGGACTCATTGCCTTCCCCGTATCCCCTATTTTATTTAATTCCAATTTTAAATTAAACATTACTCAACCTCGCAAGTTAGATTATTTATTAAATATTTTTATAGAATTTTTCAGAAGAGGAAAAACAACTTAAAACAAATACACAGCGTAATAATGAAAAAAAAAAGATAAAATGACAAGAAACGTGACACGCAAAGTGTTTTCTGGTGACCGCCTTTAAAAATGAAAACTTTTCAAGTTTTACTAGACAAACAGTGAAATGAAAAGTAAATTTAATCTTTTTTAAATTTTAAAATATTAAAAAAAAACAAAAGAAAAAAAGTTTTATTTATTTATTTTGTTTACGTAAAACTTTGAAAAGTCAAAAAGTAATAATTAATAATTTAAAAAAAAGTAGCCCGTGTCTGTGCGCGCAAAGAGATTAATTAACTAACAATAACAAATAATGAAAAGTAAAACGTAAAAACGGAATAAACTGAACATTTTTTTTTTTACAACAGTTGCAAGTTTCTTTTTAAGCTTATTAATTTTTTTTTTTTAAATTAAACACTTTTTTTTTTTTTTAACTTACCTATCGTAGATATGTGTGTGTCGAAGAATTCGTCATTAACATACCGGCACAATATGCAGGATTTTCCAACTCCGGTATCTCCAAGTAAAAGAAGACGTAACAATAGATCATAACACTTGGCCATGACGTTGGGAAGTTAACCCGTCGTGGATAAAGTAACAAATTTGTAGAACAATTTGAAAAAAAAAAAGTTTCGATAAATAACTTTGGTTCTCCATAGATAGATTAACAACTGCACGCCAACATCATTGCTTGTTCTTTCAATTGAATTTTTAAAAGACAGAAATGTTGATTTTAAAAATAATAAAAGAGAGATATGGATAGATGAGGGAATTAAAGGACGAATTGGGTAGCAGGTGCGCTGTTTTGAGGGAAGGATTGTTTTGATAAGACTAAAAAAAATGTAGTTCTTTCTTACTAAAAAAAAAAAACAAACAAGTTACATTTGAGTGGAAACTACCAAATAGTTTAATTCTTGGGAAATAAGTTAACGTGTCGTCTTTTCTTTCTTTTTTTTTTTTCCCCTGGATTCGTAAGTAACGGAAAATATGGTTCCGGCTTCGAAAAAAGGATTTTTTTTTTATCAAAAAGAACCTAGTTTTGAATTTGATGTTCAAAGTGAATAAGTCAACCAGTAACAGTAATAAAGAGACTATCCTAGAAGAAAAGATAGGAGTATTTTTTTACTTTCTATTTTTTCATGGTCCCGGGATATTTGTGTGTGTATGTATGTTGTTCAATTTGCTCGTCCATCATCCAGGATGAGGAGGAATCTGTTACAAGGGATGGACATCCTCTCTAACTATTATTATACCTACTTAGTAGTAGTAGTAGTAGTAATCAATGCAACTATTTAATACAATTGATAAGAAGGAATAATACAGATTATTGTGCCTACTACTTATTACAATTGGGCGATACACAGAGGATTTAAAGTACTTTTTTGTTTTTTAGTGGTTTCTAACCTAATTCATTTTCCTGGAAAAAAGGCTATAAAATAAAATAAATCCTGTTACAAATAATTCGTCTTTCTTTCCTGTGTCAAGTTGATGAAACAGTACCCCAAACATTTACTTTTTTACAGGAAAAAAGAAGTTAAATTCTGATTTCAAATCAGTTTTTTTTTACTTTTAAAATATTTCTCTAGAGACCCTGTTGGTGAATTAAAACTAAAAGAGGGAAAGAAAGAGTTTCTGTTTATTCGCTTATTATACCAGAACCAGAATATCTTAATTCACTGGTAGTGAAATATTTTGTAAAATCTTCAAATTTAATAATTATCACATCTATTTTATTTTTAAATGAAAAAAAAAAATCAATCCTTTAAAAATAGACATTTGATGCGTTTTTTTTTTTGTTTTTTTTGTCTCACTAACAACAACTAAATAAAACCTCAAGGAATGAGTCAATTCAATATTTGACACTTGTTGATGCCGCAACAAAGTCCTATGTTCCATCCCAAAACTGCCTTTTTTAAAATTATTTTAAGGAAACCTCGAATTATTGTTAGAAAGTAAAATGAAAGTTCTTTCGTGGCAGTTGGCAGTCAGTTTTTAGTCTTTTTTTTTATGCTCATTGAGTAAAAGAGGAAACATATTGCCAAACAAATTTTATCCCGACAGAAGGATTCTGGCAAAAAATGTCGCGGATTTGGAAATTCGCGCTGCTTTCCTTTTTGCGTCTGTTAATTGTCCTAAATTTTAGAGAATCTAAACGTCTGTTTCATAACAGCTCGAAATGAGCTGTTATGAAATGGCATAATTTTCATCTTCAAATTCCTTTAAACGAGCCGGTTTTGTTGTTTACAAAAGTCAAGAAGATTGACAACTAAAAACAAAAAAGATACAATGTACATTGCCTACCTTTTCTTAATTCGTATTTTTTAATTCAATTTTCTGTAACAAGCCTCACCAACCTAACGACTGGAACATGACACAAAAAGTGTTTACATGAAAATCAAGTAGAAGAAACAAAGAAAGAAAAGAAAATACTTTCGAAAAAGAAAGATCTTTGAAAGTTGGTTGAAGGATATTTTTTTAAGATGCCATTCATTCCATTCAACAAAGCTTTGCAAAAGAAAATATTATCACCAATGGAGACCTTCAGAAAGGGAGTTTTTTTTTTTTTTATTATTTTTAGGTTGAAAATGTGAAGAAGAATTTATCAGTTTTTTTACTCTCTCGTCTAACAGCAATTTTTCATGTTTTGTTTTTTGCTTTTCGTGCACCGATTTTACCCTCGGGTGCTCTTTGACCCGACCGTCTTTTCTTTTCTTTTTTTTAAACCCTTTTTTAGTTAAATTAAAGATATATTCGATGATTATGGTGACTCATCCTCGTCCTGAAACTATTCAACATATATTCAAGATTTTTTTTTTAAATAAGGAAAAGCTCGGGTTAATTTTAAAAATGGGAATGAGTAGGGGGTGGATTTTTGTGCGCATAAAAGTTTTCTAAGCAAATAATTTACATTTTTCTTTTTGCTTCCCAAAACGGGTAACTTTCATTCCTATTTTTTTGGTAAGATTTTTATTCTTTATTTTCAAGTTTTTACCCTGCTTAATATTGCAAAAATTATCAAAGAAAAAAATTTAGTTAAGAAGACACCTGTCAATTGCAAAATCTGACTTCAAACACAAACTTTATAATAGCCAACTGAAGCAATAAAACATTTTTCAAATGCTTCGGTATGTCTTATATTTTCAATGTATATATTTTTTTTACCATAAAAAGTTTATGCTTAGTTGCCAGTATTTTTAATTCTCGCTTTTATACCAAGTATTTGTTATTTGTGTTAAAAAATCAACCAAAGAACTCTTGGCTATAGCTTTGATGGCAAAACCACAAAATTAAAAACTAGATAATTCATGATTCATGCCAACCATGATTTATCTCGTAGATCAAAGTCAATATGGTAAGAGATCAATACACCTCTACTCCTACCTACTCCTCTAAACTCCTAACATAATTACTCCTGTTAAGCTGATTAACAATTTCATGTTGACCCATTCTTTGTGACATTTAAACAGTAAACCTCTTTCCTAAACTTATTTTTCTCTTAATGAAATTTAAATCAACTCTATTAAAAAATCAAGTTGAATGTCCCAAAGCTTATACACTCTGTTTTTGGTTCATTAACTGTAGTGTAAATGAGCTTGTAATGATGATCATCATCACACACATACATACATACTTACTTACTCAAATTTAAATTATACAACCAGCATTCATTGGATAATAAATCAACACTACTTTGTAATAGACAATTTATAAATCGCAGCTATGCAACAATTTTATAATCGCTATATTTTCATGTAGTTGATTTTGTGCACTTTTGGTAGAATTGGATACCAAGAGCCTTCTCAGCTTAGTAAATATTTTCAGGAAATATCAGCTTCGAATTGGTCAATAAACACACAAGTGGCGTTGCAATTCACCCACACACAATATATTTTTCCAGCACGTGACTAAGTCAAGTTTCCCGCCAAGGCGCTGTGAGCTCGTCACGTGATTACATTATCTATAAATAACAGACACCAGTTCGCTCATTCTCTTTTTTCTCTCTTCTTGCTGCAAAATGTAGTCCCAGAGAAATATTCGTCTTGATTTTGTGGTCAGACATTAAATAACATTTCACGCATTCAGGTACGTACAAACTCTTATGAACTTCTCCAAAATGCAAATGTTCACGGTCACACACAAACACAATGTTATCTGTCTATGTGCTTTGTAATTTGTTGTTGATACATATATTTCTTTTAATATATATCGGTCTTGTTTGTTTGTCTTCTTTATCTTCACTTGGACTTAATCCAAGTCCAACATTCTATTGTAGCTGGACCTTCTTCTAGCAAGAAATTTAAACGTACGTGTTTTCTTTTCATTCCCCCCCCCGGTTCTCTTCAAGCTTGTGTTCCTCTGATGTTGCTCATACAACACTAAATACTTCTTTTTTTTCAATCCACCATTCTTAATTTCCTACACACATCAACGTAAAAATCGTTCCCCTTCTCACTGGTTCAGCCCTCTTTTATCATACCAACACCATGGCTGACTGACCAATTAGTGTTCTTTGCTTTTGTCCTCAGTTACTCGGTCAAATGGCATCCTCCAGTCCAACTAATCAGCATGTGACTTGCTATTGGTTGAACCATGCTAAGCTGTACAAAAGCCACTATTACAGAATATACACTTTTGGAATTATCTTAAGTGGGGAAGGGAGATTCATGCCATTTTCAAGAAACAAAATGCTGCTGCTATGTGTCATGTATCGAGGTAAAGGAACTTATTTTCCATTGCACCATATGCAAGCCACTCTGATTCACTTGCTTTTACATAATTGTTCACCACACTACTCCCTGATCTCCTGATCACAAAAAATACAGACAGGAGCAAATCTCTTTTGCTGAGTACTCCTCTGAAGTGGAGCAACACAAGCTTTATCCTCAGATGATCTGCTGCCAGGGTAGCTAGCAGGTCATACTGCATTAGTATTTTGGCTGCCGGCAGTTGGGGAGTCGTCCTGTGAGGTTGTTTCATTTTCAAACAATTCATTATCGAGGGAGTGATCAGGTTCTCCTAGTGGGGTTGATCACAAATTTACTAACTGCTCACTATCTTCAGAATTGCTGCCAAGTGCAGACATCAGAACCAATCAGATGAAGGGACATGGGTTCTTCACATGACGTGGAACTCCATCAGCGTGTACTAACTGTGTACTATTAACCTGAGTCACATGGCCTATTCTAAACTTAGTCATGCATGCATAATCTGTGAAGACATTTACCATAGGAAGAGGGAGATAGGTGGCTTATAACTTTTGACCTATTATTGGCATCACCATTTATTCAGATCTGTATTTTCCCTTACCTTATCAAAATGTGAATGCAAAAACTTGTACTACAGTCCTCAATGACAACAGATGCTATTACTGAAAGTATATTGTCAAACACTTGTGGTTTTTTAATAATAATTGAAACTTAATTTTTTAACTGAAGTTTCTTTTGTTTGTGACTATGTTTTTCAAGTCAATAACGTGTAGGGATTATAAATTATAAATAAATAAAATTTATAAATAAATAAAAATAAAATATAAGATAATAATAATGAAAATTATAAATAAAAT